CTGCCCAAAATGCTCCAGCGGGCCGCCGCGGCGGCGGTCGATGAGCACGAAGCACCACGCGGCAGAGCGAGGCCCCTCCAGAGGCCACCCAGGCATCGGTGTCTGCACAAACTTCGCCACGGTATCCCGGAACTGAATGCGAGTCCTGTGGCCATCGCTCTGCAACGCCAGACCCATCAAACGAGCGTCGAAGACAGCCTTCGCGCCAGCGTACAACAGCAGGCTCATCGAGACGCGACGAATCCCGATCCAGCCGTGGTCGGTCCTCATGATGCCGACGTCGCCGCCGAACCGCTCGGCCCCGTTGAAAGCCACCACCGCCCCGCGCTCGCCCGCCGCGGTCGACTCAGTCATGGCCAACTCTGGGCCAGCAGGAACTGCAAAGGGCGATAAGCCTGCAGCCGCTGCCGGAGCTCCGCCCACCGCCGCAGGCGCCCCAGCGCCTGGGGAAAGGGGGGCAACGGCGCCTCTAACAGCGACCCCAAGCCCAGGCCCCCGGCCAGGCCCCACGCCAGCCAGAGCAGCGGCACCTCCAGCCCCGGCGCCAGCGGCCGCGCCGCCGCCTCCAACGGCAGGACCTCCAGCACTCAAGCCGTCCAAGCCGAAGTCGAACGCGACCCACGAGACACCTGCAGGCAGCACTGCGGGTCGACCTCCTGCGGTCTCACTCGCCAGGTGGGTCTCGTCCGCCACCTGAGCAACCGCCGCCAGGACGGCCGTCTCCTCTCCAACAGTGAGCCTTCTCCGAAGAGCCGTACAGCTGAGCAGTGTCCAGGCCTCCGAGGTCTCGTCGAGTCCCCACGAAGCGCACCTCGAGGACATCAGGGCTATCCCGACTATAGTTCTCTCCGTGCACGTCGTGGTCGGGCTTGCTACTGATCATCATCAGATCCCTCTGAGGCCCAGGCGGCGGATCCACCAGCTGGCCCCAGATGCGGCGCTGATGCCACCGCCGCTCTCCGGCGTGTAACACCCACGCCCACGCGCGCACGTCTGGCGCAGGCGCGGTCATCCTCCAGAGATAGAGGCCGCCGGCTCCTCGACTGGCACCAAGCCCTCAACGACGCGAACCCGACGTAAACCACTAGCGCGGCTGACTGCAGCGCCGACAGCGCCAGGTGCGCCGACAGGGTCACCAGCTCGGCCAGCCAGCTCCCCACCGAGGGCCCCTCGCCCGAGGTGGCCTCGGCAGCCTCCGAAGTCAGCAGCGGCGCCTCCGCGGCGGGCCCAGTCGAGACCTCCGGCGCAGGACGCGAGGGCGGCTCCCAAGGCGGGTCGCCTAAGCCGCTGCCAACGACGCCGCTGGCCTGCAAGTGGGAGATCCCCACGGGGCACTGCAGGCCCGGGCACGTCGGGCAGCTCGCCGACGAGCACGAGGGGCAGCCCAGTTGCGGGCAGCCAGGGCAGGGCGGGCACGGCTGCGATCGCCACCTGTATGCGGTCAGCAGCTGAGCGACGGTGCCCACAAGCCAAAACCCGTTGCGGAGTCCAGGCATGAGGACACCACAAAACATGATGGACCCACGAACCCGGAAAGGGATATAGACATGTGCAGCATGGTCACGTTTTCACGATACCCAACTGGGCGACACCTCACGAAACATCCCACGAGACACCCCGCGAAACATCCCACGAGACACCTCACGAAACATTCCACGAGACCCCTCACGAAACATTCCACGAGACACCCCGTGAAACATTCCACAAGACACCCCACGAACAGGCAACCACTCAACCAGACACCCCACGAAACATTCCACGGGGGTGCGACTGCGTGTGGTCGTGCTGGGGTGTGGTCGTCCTGGGGTGTGGTCGTGCTGGGGAGTGGTCGTGCTGGGGGGTGGTCGTGGTGGGGGGTGGTCGTGCTGGGGGGTGGTCGTGCTGGGGGGGTGGTCGTGCTGCGGCGTGGTCGTGCTGGGGCGTGGTCATGCTGGGGCGTGGTCGTGCTGAGGTATGGTCGTGCTGTGGTGAGGTCGTGCCGGGGTGTGGTCGTGTTGGGGTGTGGTCTTGCTGGGGTGGGGTCGTGCTGGGGTGGCGTCGTGCTGGGGTGTGGTCGTGCTGGGGTGTGGTCGTGCTGGGGTGGGGTCGTGCTGGGGCGTGGTCGTGCTGGGGTGTGGTCGTGGTGGGGTGGGGTCGTGGGGTGGGGTCTGGGGGGGTGGTCGTGCTGGGGGTGGTCGTGCTGGGGGGTGTCGTGCTGGGGTGGTCGTGCTGGGGCGTGGTCGTGCTGGGGCGTGGTCAGTGGTCGTGCTGGGGTGTGGTCGTGCTGGGGTGTGGTCTGGGGTGCTGGGGTGGGTCGTGCTGGGGTGGGGTCGTGCGTGCTGGGTGTGGTCGTGCTGGGGCGTGTCGTGGGGTGTGGTCGTGCTAGGGTGGGGTCGTGCTGGGGTGGGGTCGTGCTGGGGTGTGGTCGTGCTGGGGTGTGGTCGTGCTGGGGTGTGGTCGTGCTGGGGCGTGGTCGTGCTGGGGTGGGGTCGTGCTGGGGTGGGGTCGTGCTGGGGTGTGGTCGTGCTGGGGTGGTCCGCACCCTGTGATTTATCGATCGGGTCGTCCTGGGGTGTGGTCGTGCTGGGGTGTGGTCGTGCTGGGGTGTGGTCGTGCTGGGGCGTGGTCGTGCTGTGGTGTGGTCGTGCTGGGGTGTGGTCGTGCTGGGGCGTGGTCGTGCTGGGGCGTGGTCGTGCTGGGGTGTGGTCGTGCTGGGGTGTGGTTGTGCTGAGGTGGCCCGCACCCAGTGCTTTATCGATCGGGATTTCAAAAACAAGCGTTTCGCCTGAGACATCCTCAAAGTTTAATCCGCCGGCCCACCTCGATCTCGATATTTATCAGGGAAAGAATCCGCCGGCCCACCTCAGTTGAGGCACCGGGGACAAGCTTACATACTAAAAGAGAAACCTGGGCCTATGCCCTTTCTGGGAAAAATTGAGCATGAACGGAGCATACGGTCGCAACGGCAACCTCTCAGACTTACTCGCAGAGAACACCAGGCACGCCACAGCAATGCATATGCATAAACATTTACATGTGCAGATACACATACGCAAACATACACATATATATATATATACACATGTATGTATATACACACACCCATAAGCATAGACACGCACGTAAACATAAACATATACACAAGCATAGACAAATACATGCGCATACACATGCCCATATTCACCAACATACTATAGACATGAACATTAACATGAACATAATTATAGATGTAGACATGTACATAATCGTATGCATATACACATGCCTATGCATGTACAAATACAGTTACAACAACGTGTGCATCTGTATATACCACATATGTATGTACAATTGTTTTGGGGGTGGGAGCGGGAGGGAGGCGGTCCCGGATTCCGCCGGCTGGCCAGCTACCCCGAAGAGGACGACAAGGAAACGAGGGAGGGGAGGAAGAACGAAGCAGAGAAGGACGAGACAACACAAGACGACAGAAGGCAAATCGACAAGAGAGGCACCACGCCACCGCAGCCTGGCCTCCGAGCTCGAGCAACATGATGGACCCACGAACCCGGAAAGGGATAAAGACATGTGCAGCATGGTCACGTTTTCACGATACCCAACTGGGCGACATCTCACGAAACATCCCACGAGACACCCCGCGAAACATCCCACGAGACACCTCACGAAACATTCCACGAGACACCTCACGAAACATTCCACGAGACACCCCGTGAAACATTCCACGAGACACCCCACGAACAGGCAACCACTCAACCAGACACGCCACGAAACATTCCACGGGGGTGCGACTGGGTGTGGTCGTGTGGTCGTGCTGGGGTGTGGTCGTGCTGGGGAGTGGTCGTGCTGGGGTGTGGTCGTGCTGGGGGGTGGTCGTGCTGGGGGGTGGTCGTGCTGGGGGGGTGGTCGTGCTGGGGGGTGGTCGTGCTGGGGCGTGGTCGTGCTGGGGCGTGGTCGTGCTGGGGCGTGGTCGTGCTGGGGCGTGGTCGTGCTGTGGTGAGGTCGTGCTGGGGTGTGGTCGTGCTGGGGTGTGGTCTTGCTGGGGCGTGCTCGTGCTGCGGTCGGGTCGTGCTGGGGTGTGGTCGTGCTGGGGTATGGTCGTGCTGGGGTGGGGTCGTGCTGGGGTGGGGTCGTGCTGGGGTCTGGTCGTGCTGGGGTGTGGTCGTGCTGGGGTATGGTCGTGCTAGGGTGGGGTCGTGCATTTCGCTCGAGACATCCTGCCAAAATTCCTGGAAATCGTACAAAAACAAACGAATTAGTCGAGACATCATCGAAATTCCTTCGCGCGGGGCGCTTTTCCGCGTCGCGGTCGGCTCTGCAAAACCAGCGTTTCGCTGAGACATCCTCAGCAAATTCTGAAAACAAGCGTTTCGCTCGAGACATCCCCAACTCTGCAAAACCAGCGTTTCGCTCGAGACATCCTCAACAAATTCTGAAAAACAAGCGTTTCGCTCGAGACATCCTCAAATTTTAATCTGCCGGCCTCCTTCGACCTCGATATTTATCAGGGAAAAAATCCGCCGGCCTCCTTCAAGTTGGCACCGGGGGACATGTTTACATAGTAAAAGAGAACCCTGGGCCCCCGCCCTTTCCGGGAAAAATTGAATGACGAGGAGCGCGGGCAGCGCATCATTGATCAGGACCGATACCACCACGAAGAAGCCAACAACGGGTGAGCCAGTCAAAGAAGTCGTGGAAAGAGCCCCCTGTTGCCAGCGAAATGCCTTGTCGGGACGGGGTATCCGCCTGCGCACAGCATGACCAGTGCATCGACCAGGACTCCGACTCGATGAGAGACGCACCATACCAAGAGGGAGTAGCGGAAGACAGAGACCAATCGAATTTATAATGCCCAGGCGGAAGAAGCAGCCGAAGATAATGTCAGGTATCAAGTGACGGTAATAATATAAATAGCCCGGCGAGGCGGCTGCGTCCGAAGAACACGGAGAGGAGGCTCGGGCCCGTCTCGACGGACTGGAGGCAACTCACGATGAACTCCAGAGCCCCCGCGCCGGGACCCAGCAGGATCACGAGCGAGCGTCGGCGGCAGCCACGACCCGCTCCTGGAGAAGACGCGCCGCCCGCGCCAGCCCCAGTCCTTGCTCGACGCGCTCTCGATCCCCAAAAGCCGCGCCGTGGCGCGAAAGAAATCGCGCCTGCTCGGTGATCGACTCGATGACGGTCGCGGGCGTCGATCCCGGGACCGCGGCGAAGATGCGGACGAGATTCAGCACTTCCAGGTAGTAGTTGTCGGTTTCGGCCGCGGCGAAGCCCGTATCCTTGCCGCGGACGTCCGCGCCGCGAACCTCCACGCCCCCGGCGATGTGGGTGGCAGCCTCCGCCCCGGCGACCAAGTCACGGTTCATGTCGCCGTCGTCCGTGGCGCCCGGGTCGGTTGCGAAGATTTCGTCCTTTTCCTTGTTCCTGGCGCTGTCGTCCATGGCGCCCGGGTCCGTTGCGGCGTTTTCGTTTTTTTTTCCCTCGGCTCCCTCGGTCACGGCGTTCTCGCTGGCGGTGCCGTGGCTGATCTGGGGCTCGGGATAGACCGGGCTCATCTGCTCCGCTCCGAGATCGCTGGCGGTGCCATCTCCGGGGCGCCCAAACCGTGCACAGGGAAAACCTCCAAGAGACCCACTGGGAAGATGCGATCATGATACCAGATGTCCAAGAGGTCCATGCTGGCAACGTCAGCGTTGCCATCAGGATGGAAGGGTGTGCTCCAGGGGAAAGCCTGGGACTGGAACGAACATCGCGAGAGGACGACCTTATTGGGGGTGAGCTTGTGCGTGTAGGCGGCCTCGAAACTTGGAAGGAGTCTACATCGGGCTCCAATCCGGAACGAACTGTTCGACTGACGGCGGCAGGTCCTCGACTGTCGGCTGCAGGGCTGTGGCCGGTGCTGGAGCAATCGGCTCTGGCTTCTGGACGCCCAGGTCCGCATCCAGAGCGGGGACGGTCTCGCGCAGCGCCTCTGACATCGGCTTCTGGAGAAGGATGATCGCGTCGTCGACATACGTGGTCACGTGGAGCGTCGGGTGGATCTTCAGCGCCTGGCGCAGCTCGTCCTGGACCTCCTGTATACGACGTCTGAGGCTGACGCACTTCTGGACCTGGCAAGCTGACAGCAGCACAGCCTTGGGGGGGCTCAGGAGATCTGACGGGCCTGATGACCTTCGGGGCGGTGTCGCTGGAGCATGTGCGGTCCCCTGCGGCTCGGTCGGACTCATGGCACAGGCTCGCAGCTTCTTCCAGGACCCGATCGGCAGCTCCAAGTGCGGGGGAGGTCTCGTCCGCTGAAGCTTCCTGACCAGCGCCTTCAGTTCGGCTATCATCAATGGCAAGGCGCTCGAAGCTGTAGCAGGGCCTTTCTGGATGGTCTGCGAGGGGAGCGCCGCCCGAGGAGGCGACCACTTCGTGCCGTGAATAGCCCCCTCCGGAACGACGCCAGACGAAGCGGGGCCCCTCTGGTGGCTGGGGTCCTCCGGGGTGCCAGCCCTGCAGAGTACCAGTGCTTCTGGAGTACGATCGGCTGCCAGGCCCACCGCGACCAGTGCTCGGTGTTCCGCCTCTGCGATCGCCGTCGAGCCAGCGGAGCTGCATGGAACCATGCGCGCCCCGTGCCTGGAAGGGGGGAAGCAGGAGGAGAGCCCGCCGAGCGGCCGCGCGGGAGGGGAGGAGGAGGGTGGAGGCCGCTCTGCAGCCGCAGAGGCTGCTTGAGCCAGTGGTGGCTACTTGAGCCGATGTATGTACAATGATACAGACACACGTACATGTGGTTTTCCCGATATATACACACGTACACATACAACATGCATGCATACACACACCTAATCATATACAGGCGCATGTACACATACATTACATATGTCTACAGACATAAATATATGCACGTACATGTGCATACGCATGCGCACGTACAACTACATATACGGATGCCGAAACCTATGCACATTCACAGACATATGCATAGACAATACCACACAAGTGAATCTAACTATACAGGAGCATGTACACATACATAGGTTTTGACATGTAAATGCACATATGCCTACGAATCTACATATACATGTACCTTTACGTATACGTAAACATATGCACATACTGACATACTTACATATACAAATATACGTATTCCCGTCCTATCGCACCCACGGACGCGTCGGCAGGGCGGGCCGATTGTCTCGCCTGAGGTGTCCTGACCACTTGTGATCATGACGCCGGTTACAGGGATGGGGGGTCAAAATGGGCCTCTCGCAATAGCGTCGCTCGCTTCTTTTGAGAAGCCTGCAGCGGCTACAATGGTGGAGGCGGCCATGTTCAAACCAGCGGTTTCGCCTTGGGGCCGCTTTCGTTCGTCCTGAAAGCTTGCAGCGTCTACAAAAATGGAAAGGGTCATTTCAGAATGGGGCTATCGCATTAGCGCCTCGCACAGTCGTCGTACAAGTTCACCACATCTGCCAGGATGGAGGGCGGCTCCTGTTCAGAATGGGGCTCTCGCCTTAGCGCCGCCCGCATTCGTCATCAAAGCTTGCAACAATTACAAAGATGGAGGACAGCTCTCTTTTTGTATGTGGCTCGCGCGTGGGCGCCCCTCTAGTTCACTATCCGGAATGCGAATATTATACGGAACGGCTGCGAAGATGGAGGGAGGCTCCTCTTTGTAAGTGCTGTTATGGATCCAAATTTTCCCGAATCAACGAGAAATTCAAACTTGTGCAACCAACGGGGCTATCGCATGACTTGCAGGTCCATGGAGTGGTCGTCTTTCAAGGGGACGCGCCTTGCACTCAAAAGACAGGCTTGCAGGGAATTGTGAGGATGGGAACTTGGGACGGGAGGGTGCATTGCAGCATCGTTGGCATCCTTGGAGCAATCTGGTCACCATCCTCCGCCTTCTCCTTCTCCTCCTCCTCTTCCTCATCCTCCTCCTCCTCATCATTATCACCCTCCTCGTCATCATCAGCAGCAGCATCATGCTGCTGTAAACTCATGGTGCTCACCCTCGGCGTGGGCGCTGCGAAGTGCCCGGCGTGCCCCCGCCACCACCCTCCTTCTGGGCCTTGGCGAAGCTGTTCCGCTGCAGGTCCAGGACGTCGGCGGCCTTGCGGGAGGACGGAGCGCAGGATAACGCCTCCTCTTCTTTACATGCACACATGCATTGATGCAAAGTTTGTTTGGCGTCGCGGCCACGCGAGCGGCGGCGTGGCGTGGCGTAGAAAGTGTCGGAGAAGCTCGCGCAGTGGCCTGGCTCACGCGGCGGGGAGACGTTGGATCCACCCACAGGGGATCGACAGCGACTCTCACGGGGGAGCAGCCCTGAAGATATGGACGGCGAGAGGGGGGAAAGAAACATATTCATGTTTCCTCAAATCAGATGCTTGCATCAGGGGTTCTCACTTGTTGTTGCAGACCTGGTCGTCGCCGGGTTCCCTCCTTGCCAGGGGGGTCTCTGGGGTTCCCCGTTTGGACGGCTGGCCTCCCTCGGGTGCCCAGGGCTCCCAGGGCTCCCAGGGCTCCCACGTCCCGTTTTGCAAGTGATGCCAAGCAAGCAGTGCCAAGCCCGCGTCGTGAAAAAACATGATCGACCCACGAACCCGAAAAGGAATATAGCACTGTACCACATGGCAGCGTTTTCAAAGACACATGATTGGGTGACGGGCAAATGCAATGCTGAGTGTATCGATCTTGATGTACCCTGCCGAGGGCTGTGCTGTGCTGCACCGTGCTGAATTGCGATGTGCCATGCCGCGATTGTGCTCTATAGCCTCGATGCATCCGAGTCCTGACCGAACTGATCTGGATCTTAAGCTCGAGCTGCCTGAACACATAGTAGCTGCCCAAGAGCTAGTGGACAGGGGAGCATGTCAGGAGGACGCGCCGCGAAACGTCCCAAGGGATGGCGCCAGGCGGCGTGCCAGGGGACGTGCCATGGGGTCGCACTGCGGGACGTGCCAAGGGGACGCGCTACGGAACGTGCCAATGGATGTGCCACGGGATGTGCCAGGGGTCGCGCCATGCGACGTGCCAGGGGGACTCGCCAAGGGACGCCCCACGGAACGTGCCAAGGAACGTGCCAAAATGCAATGCTGAGTGTATCGATCTTGATGTACTGTGCCGAAATATGTGCTGTGCTGCACCGTGCTGAATTGCGATGTGCAATGCCGCGATTGTGCTCTATAGCGTCGTGGATCGAGACCTCCTTTGCATCCGAGTCCTGACCGAACTGATCTGGATCTTAAGCTCGAGCTGCCTGAACACATAGTAGCTGCCCCAGAGCTAATTGACAAAGGGACATGCCAGGAGAACGCGACGCGGAACGTCTCAAGGGACCCACCAAGCGACGTGCCAAGGGACGTGCCATGGGGACGCACCGCGGGACGTGCCAAGGGGACGCGCTACGGAACGTGCTGGGGACAAGCGTTTCGCTCGAGACATCCTGCCAACATCCTCAGAATTCCTGCGCGCGGGACGCGGCACGCGCGAGACATCCTCGGAATTCTTGCGAGCGGGACGTGAAAACAAGCATTTCGCCTGAGACATCCTCTGAATTCTGGACCCCACGAGGCCCCCCACGAGGCCCCCCAATTTTGCAAAACCAGCGTTTCGCTCGAAACGTCTTCAACAAAGTATGAAAGACAAGCATTTCGCTCGAGACATCCTGCCAAAATTCAAGGAAATCCTCGCAAAACGAACGAATTAATCGAGACATCCTCGAAATTCCTGCGCGCGGGACGCGGCACGCGCGAAACATCATCGGAATTCCTGCGCGCGGGCGCTTTTCCGCGTCGCGGTCGGCTCTGCAAAACCAGCGTTTCGCTCGAGACATCCTCAACAAATTCTGAAAACAAGCGTTTCGCTCGAGACATCCCCAACTCTGCAAAACCAGCGTTTCGCTCGAGACATCCTCAACAAATTCTGAAAAACAAGCGTTTCGCTAGGGACATCCTCAAAAACATGATGGACCCACGAACCCGGAAAGGGATAAAGACATGTGCAGCATGGTCACGTTTTCACGATACCCAACTGGGCGACATCTCACGAAACATCCCACGAGACACCCCGCGAAACATCCCACGAGACACCTCACGAAACATTCCACGAGACACCTCACGAAACATTCCACGAGACACCCCGTGAAACATTCCACGAGACACCCCACGAACAGGCAACCACTCAACCAGACACGCCACGAAACATTCCACGGGGGTGCGACTGGGTGTGGTCGTGCTGGGGTGTGGTCGAGTGGTCGTGCTGGGGTGTGGTCGTGCTGGGGAGTGGTCGTGCTGGGGTGTGGTCGTGCTGGGGGGTGGTCGTGCTGGGGGGTGGTCGTGCTGGGGGGGGGGTCGTGCTGGGGGGTGGTTGTGCTGGGGCGTGGTCGTGCTGGGGCGTGGTCGTGTGCTGGTCGTGCTGGGGTGTGGTCGTGCTGTGGTGAGGTCGTGCTGGGGTGTGGTCGTGCTGGGGTGTGGTCTTGCTGGGGTAGGGTCTTGCTGGGGCGGGTCGTGCTGGGGTGTGGTCGTGCTGGGGTATGGTCGTGCTGGGGGTGGTCGTGCTGGGGCGAGGTCGTGCTGGGGTCTGTCGTGCTGGGGTGTGTCGAGCTGGGTATGTCGTGCTATGGTGGGTCGTGCATTTCTCTCGAGACATCCTGCCAAGAATTCAGGATAATCGACAAAAACAAAACGAATTAGTCGAGACATCACGAAATTCCTAGCGCGCGGGCGCTTTGTTAGTTTTCCGTGTCGCAGTCGGCTCTGCAAAACCAGCGTTTCGCTCGAGGCATCCTCAACAAATTCTGAAACAAGCGTTTCGCTCGAGACATCCCCAACTCTGCAAAACCAGCGTTTCGCTCGAGACATCCTCAACAAATTCTGAAAAACAAGCGTTTCGCTCGAGACATCCTCAAATTTTAATCTGCCGGCCTCCTTCGGCCTCGATATTTATCAGGGAAAAAATCCGCCGGCCTCCTTCAAGTTGGCACCGGGGGACAGGTTTACCCACTAAAAGAGAACCCTGGGCCCACGCCCTTTCCGGGAACATGATGGACCCACGAACCCGGAAAGGGAT